CCCTCTCACGCTTCCCACATCTCTACCGGCTGGAGAATTAGATAGAAGTCGCAAATGTGAATAACGACTCGGAAATAGTTAAAGAGTAGTTGATAGGTGTGTAACTTTCTTTTTCTGGAGCTCAATTCGTAGGTTTGGTGGGGTGTAGATAACCAGAGCCACTACTGGGGATGCTGCTGCCTGCGTGCAGCTTGCATGCAGTTTACGTGGAGTGGTCGGGTTTCTGTCCGACCCGGATTGGGTGAGGGAGCGGGGGGGAGGGGGAGGGGGAGGGTTTTGGCGTGGGGGTGCCTACGCGGTGCTAGGCGGGCTGAGGACCGTGAGTGAGTGGGGCTGCTACGTGTCTAGTTAGGCGGGGTGGATTACCGGGGGGGATGGGGTGGGTTTGGTGTTGGGATCGGAGTTGGGATCGGGTGATTGGCAGGTTTGGTGGGAGCTATCTCCGTGTGGGTGAGACAGGATGCGGTGGGAGAGATGGGGTCGTCCGGACTTGTGAGGACAATGCTATGGGACTGGAGGGGGTTAAAGGAGAGTGGGTTGGGGTGGGGGGGGAGGGAGAGGGGAATGATCGGTTGGTGGGAAACGGCAGGCGGGGGGGGGCCTATCTCGTTGCGGGGAGGGAGTGTATCAGAGATGCTGTTAGCTGTGTTTGGTGTGAGATTTCATGTGACAGGTGGGTGGAGGAGAGGATCTTTGGTCGTGAGGGATTGTGTGTAGCAGCGGGGTGGATTTGGAGGGATCTATTTAGGGGTGGAGTGGAATAAAGCAGGGAGGGAAGTTGAGGGCTGAGGAGACAGAGAAGTAGGGGTTAGTATGTGCGGTGGTAGCTTGTGACCGTTTGCACTTCACTTGGGTGCTGTCTGTTGCGCTCGTTCTTCCAAAGACGATGGTTCTCCCGCTTAAGGCGTGAGTTGGCTTGCGGGCAGCTTCGATGTCTCCTGTGGTGGCTGGGTTGGGCTGATCCGCCTTCGTTCGAAGTGGCTTCCACCCTGGCGATGGTGACTGGTGACGGTGCTCACGCTTAAGGCGTTACTTGGCTTGCGGGCGGCCTTGATGTCCGATCTGGCGGCCGGGTTAATCCTCCTTCGTCCGAGGTGAATGGTTTCGTGACGAGGGCGGCTGACCAGCTTGAGATGCGAGCTTGCTCACGACCTTCTTCCGTGGCGATGGATACTGGTGCTGGTGCTCACGCTTGAGGTGTGAGGTGGCCTGCAGGCGGCTTCGATGTCAGCTATGGTGTAGGTGGTGGTGCTCGTGCTCGATACTCGAGCCGGCTTGCATGCATCGTCGTTGGCGGCCGTGTTGAACCGCCCACGCTCAAAATTCAAACGTGACGGGCGCGTTCGCGCTCGATGGTGGACTGGCGGGAATCGGGGCGGGGCGCTAGCGCAGATTAGCGCTGCGTTGCGCTACAGGGCGGCGCTGTCGCGATTAATTTCTCAAGATTTCTTAAATTGGAATGTTGGTGAAATTTCATGAGAGTGCACTTTTGCCTCGGTGTTCAATAGGTTTTTTTTTTTTTGCAATTAATTAGTACGGCCTCCACTCTATGAACTTGTGGCAAGTTTGGTTAAAATGACCCTTGGTTTTTGCTATAAATGGCATGACACGTTATCTGAAATTTTGGGCCTCTGTTTACCGCCTTTCCCCCTCAGCGGTGCGCCATACAAACTACACCAAGCTGTATTCCATTCGGCTTTGCGATTTCTGAACAGGAGGATTTCATTAGAAAAAGAAAAAGGCGAAACTTGGTAAGCGCAGAACAAAACAGCCGATGCCAACACAACATCTTCTTGCACAAGGACGAATAATGATCTAGATCGAGACTACCGGAGTGGCCAAGGACCACTTGCCCAGCTGGGCCACCAGGGCCAGTTCAGCAGGGACACAAATGTTCTCTTTTAAATTTAATTACTTGAATTGTTGTATTATTCTCTGAGTGGGGATCCGGGCCGCCCGGGTGACGGCAGGGACCCGGGGGAGGTCCCAGGCGGCCTGGCCGGGCAGGGCACCCGGTTGGGGGTCGGGCCCCCCCAGCGCACTCACCTGTCGGGGGATTTCGGACCCCCTTTTGGACCCCCTTTTTGTGTGTGTGTGTGTGTGTGTGTGTGTGTGTGTGTGTGTGTGTGTGTG